AAAAAAAAAAAAAAATAAATAAATAAAGTAAATAAATTGCAAGAGAGTCTTGATGTTTGACTTAATTGGTAAACGAAATAAAATAAAAAATAGATAAATAATTGACTTTTGATATTACAAAAAGGAAATGATTAGCTGTTTTTTTCTTTCTCGAATTATATAAGTCAAACTCAAAGTCACAAAAGGGGTACTATTTGAAGTCATCCCTTAAGACATTAATGTTGGTAAAAATTTTAAATGTATATTCTTGCTTGATTGATTCAATATATATATTTATTTATTTTATTGGGGTTAATTAATTAATTAATTAATTAATATCTTACTAATTGAAATTTATTGTGTGGTTAAATTGTGACAGGATGACACTATTGTTAGGACCACCGTCCTCCGGCAAAACAACCCTTTTGTTGGCTCTGGCGGGAAAATTAGACCCTACTTTAAAGGTTTGACTATATAGTTTGGTTTTTTATACATATTTTAATTTTTATTTTTAAATTATTCTTTTTTAAATGATATATACGCGCAAGAATCTTATAACCAAAAATATAAGAAATATATTAAAAAAAGGGCTAAAATATAATAAAAAACTTAGTATAATATTTAAATATAGAATTTAGAACAGTTGGCACTGATTAAAATTAGACAATATATGAATTATTAATTTCTATTTTTGTGTATAGTCACATTTATAAATTATAATAATTAAGAGTGTGAGTATTAATTATTTATTTTTATTTATTTATAAATTTATTTATTTATTTATTTATTTATTTTGTAACAGAAAAGCGGGGAAATTACATATAATGGGCATTTGCTTAATGAATTTGTGCCTCAAAAAACTTCAGCATATATAAGTCAAAATGACGTTCATGTTGGTGAAATGACTGTGAAAGAAACTTTGGATTTTTCAGCAAGGTGCCAAGGGGTTGGATCACGTTACGGTATTTTAATTAATTAATCTTAATTTACTATATATATATATATATATATACAATAATTAATTTTTTATTTTATTTTTTCAAATTTCATTTTTATAATCCCATTGAGTTTTATTTATTTAAAATAAATTTAATTAGACCTTCTGAGTGAGCTTGCAAGAAGAGAAAGAGCAGCTGGAATTTTTCCTGAGGCAGAAGTTGATCTTTTCATGAAGGTATAATGAAATTTCCAAAATAGGTCCAATCGTTAAACAGGCCGACTCGTCATATTTTATAAATAAAAAAAATGCATACTTGTACTGTCAAATGACATTATTCTAATTATATTAAAATAAGATATTTTTATGCAGGCCGACTCGTCATATTTTGCAAAGAAAGAATGCATACTTGTACCTTCAAATGACAATGTTCTATGTTTATTAAAATAAAATATTTTCTAATAAAATTATGCAGGTCGACTCTGTCATATTTTGCAAATAAAAATGCATACTTGTACTGTCAGATGACATTGTTCCATTTATATTAAAATAAAATATTTTCTAATTGAATTATGCAGGTCGACTCGTCATATTTTGCAAAATAAAAATACATACTTGTACTGTCAGATGACATTGTTCTATTTATGTTAAAATAAGATATTTTCTAATTAAATTATGAATATTTATTGAAAATAATATGTGCTCAATAATTAGACAAGCCTAACATGAGATGAAGTATTATTTGCTTAAGTTAATGATTTTGCTATTTTTGCTCCAACAGGCAACTGCTATGCAGGGTGTGGAGAGCAGCCTTATTACAGATTACACTTTGAGGGTAAATTAAACCATGATGAAATTTTTATCTGTTTTATGTATTGTGTATTTATATTTATTGTTATTTTCCAAATTAAGAATTCTCAACTTTTGAATGAATTAATTATGGGGAAATGCTAAGGTCCCGTTACGAAATCATTCTGTCGGAATTTGTAATCGTTAGATCATCATGTAACCGTCAGAGATAATTGATCTAACGGTTACAAACTCTGACAGAATAGTTCCATAACTGGACCGTAACATCTTCCTTAATTATGTCCTCTGTTAACTAAACAAATATCTGAGACATAGGTTTATAATAAATTTCCTGGTTTATTTATTTATTTGTTTAACAATTGTCCTATAAAATGGTCTAAAAAGTGGAGTAATATATAATATAAAAA